CATGGCGGACAGTGTTTGGTGGAGCTCCCTGATTAAAACAAGCTTGGAAGCAGGAGTGGCATCCACTTCCGAAACGGACTGCCTCCAGAAGCTCTATGAAGAATGCTCAGGTCTTTCGTTTATAGGGTCGCTAGGAGTAGTCTACAACTCAACTGCACTTAACAGCAGCAGAAAACAATCACTTAGGACTGCTGCTGACATGTGCTCACAGGCTCCTCAGCCTTCAAGCCAGTCCTGCAAATTACGCCTCTCCCACCTTCCACCTCCAGTCCTCCAACACACTTGGCCAAAGGCTCTTGGCTCTGGCTTCTCATGGGGCAGCAGTCCCAAAGTCCACTCCATCTCATGTCATGTCTCAGAAACTCTATTATGGCTGCTTCTCCCATAGGCTCTGGGCTGATAGGCCTAAGAATCTCAGGCCCAGAGGAAGAGCTGCATTTACTTGCTTCTTCTTTGCTCTTGGTGAGATTCTCCCATCTTTCTGCTGGATCCACTCACTTTAATGGCTAGAGGAGCCCATCCCCTTGTGGATAGGCTAACATGCCTTACATTCCCACCCACCCACAAGGCAAAGCCAGTCAGTGGTTAGGAAAGGCATTTTGAATAATAAACCTTTAACACCATGCCCCACCTCTCTCCAGACAACTGATAAATATGTAAATATTCGCATTGTTATGTTGTTATGTGCCATGGAGTTGCTTGCGACTCATAGCGACCCTATGGACAACAGCCCTATACCCTGCTCTATCCTGTGCCAATCTCACTGCCTCCGACACACCCATCCCGATTACCCCAGTCACTGAATCAATCCACCTCATAGAGGGTCTTCCCCTTCTGCGCTGTCCCTCCACCCTCCCAAGCATGATGTCCTTCTCCAAGGACCTCTGCTTCCTTACAACATGTCCAAAGTATTTCAGACGAAGCCTCAGAATCCTTGCCTCCAAGGAGCAGCCTGGTTTAACCCTCTCCAGGATAATCTGTTTGTTTTCTTGGCAGTCCAAGGTACATTCAGTACTCTTCTCCAGCACCACAGCTCAAAGGCATCAATTCTCCTTCTATCCTCCTTAGTCATTGTCCAACTCTCTGATGCATAACAAGTGATTGCAAAGACCATAGCCTGTAGCAGATGCACCTTTAGTCTCCAGAGTGACACCATTGCTCTTCAGTACCCTGGAGAGGTTCCTAACAGCAGACTTTCCCATCACAAAACGTTTTTTGATTTCCTGGCCTGCTGCTTTGACCTGCTCAGAGGATGGACACTTGGGGCTGCGGTTCTCCCACCACCATTCTCCCTGTTGAGGCTTTCCTTTCTAATAAACTCTACCAGAAAGACAGAACACTTGGTTATGTTTATGTGAAGCCTACATATAGACCAAGAAGCAATTGTCAACAGATCAAGGAAACACTGCATGGTTTAAAATCTGGAAATAAATGATTCAGGGCTGTATGCTTTCTCCATATCTATTCAATCTGTATGCTGAGCAAATCATTTGAGAAGTGGACTCTGAAGAAAAATGTGATATTAGGATCAGAGGAGCTTTCATCAACAAGCTGGTTGTGCACATGACACAACTTTGCTTGCTGAAAATGAGGAGGACGTGAAGCACTTGCTACAGAAGATTAGACTACAGCCTTCAATACACATCTCAACATCAAGAAAACAAAAATCTGCACCACTGGACGAACAGACATGGCAGATGGAGAAAAGGTTAAAATTTTCAATGATTTTATTTTACTTGGATCCACACTCAATACCCATAGTTGCACCTGTTGTTGTTATGTGCTATCAAGTTGCCTGCAACTCTGAGCAACCTTACATACAACAGCTCTGAAGCCTGCCCTCTCCTGAGCCAGTCTCAATCAATACCTCTGTTACCCTACTTACTGTGCCAGTCCTTCCCATGCACGGTCTTCCTCTCCTACGCTGTTCTTCCACCCTTCCAAGCATGATATCCTTCTCTAAGGACCTCCTAGACATGTGCCTAAAATATGTGAGATGGCGCTTCCAAATCCTTGCCACCAAGGAGCAACTTGGTTTCACCTTCTCCAAGACAGACTTGTTTGTTCTCTTGGTGGTTCATGGTGTGTTCAAGAATCTTCTCGAGCACCACAACTCAAAGGCATCAATTTTTATTTTTTTTTAATCAATTTTTCTGTCATCCTTCATCATTGTCCAGCTCTCTGCCGGTTGCAGTAGTCAAGAGATTAAAACATGCATTGCATAAGAGAAATCTACTGTCAAGGACTTCTTTAAAGTCCTAAAGAGCAAGGATGCCAGTTTAAAGACTAAAACAAGCCTGATCTACGTCATGGTTATTTTCAACTGTTTCCTATGCATTTGAAGGTTGGACGATGCATAAGGAAGACCAAAGAATGGATGTCTTTTTTTTTTAAATTTTATTATTTTTGTGTGCGTGTACCGTCAAATCAGATCTGACTGGTACTGGAGGAGGAGATTGCCCCTCCTTCCCCGGCAGAGCATCTGGTTGATTTGAACCGTGTGCCTCTGGGATTGTAGTTGCAGCTTCTTGCCACTAGGCCACTAGAGCTCCCCTAAAATGGATGTCTTTAAATTGTGGTGTTGGCGAAGGTTTTTGAATATCCGATGGACTACCAAAAGAAGAAACCAATCTGTTTTAGTGGAAGTGCAACCAGGGTGTTCTTTAGAGGTAAAGACCCTGAAACTTTATCTCATATACTTTGGGCACTGTTAGAAGAGAATTGAGTGAGAGACAGAGAGAAAGAGAGAGTTGAGAGAGAGAGATGAGAGGAGAGAGAAAGAGAGAGAGAGTGAGCCAAAGAACAGGCCTTTGTTAAGTAGACCTGAGAGGACTGCCAAGTGACTTCCTGAAGAGATGAGAATGGCCTGCAAGCAGACAAAGAGTTTCCTTTTATAGCAACCTTTCAGGAGATTGAGAGGGGATGGTAGTTTGCTCAGGAATTTGGGGGCAGGGGTATGTGATTACACCCTATTTATCAGGATCTGGTCATCTAGTTACCTTATCAGGATATAGACGGGCCTTATTAAGACATTATCAGGCTTTCTCAAGGAATTGTCAGGCCTGGGAGAACTGTGACATTTTCCTCCAGGCATGTCAGAATGTCAGAACGGGCAAGTCCTTGGGAAAAGGTACCACGTTGGGAAAGGTGAAGGGTCAGAAGACCCCCAACAAGATGGATGGACACATGACTGCAACAATAGGCTCAAACATGTTGGAGGTCCTGAGGGAAAGTTCTTATCTGTTGTTCAGAGGTTTGCTACAAGTCAACCCAAGGACACCTCACATCAATCTTCACCAGAGAACACTAAGAGACTGAAAGGACCCAAGAGCAGAACTTTTGATTAAGTGCTTAACCATTGATTGTACCACCAGGGTTCCATCTTCCATAAATATAATCCACTAGAAGACAGGGAGGCCCAGTAATAAGGTGGGAAAGTCCTTGGAGTGGGGAGTGGTTCTGCTGCTTCCTTGGTGCTACTGCCACTGAGGTAAGTACAACAAGAGGGAACTAAGCTTTCCAAGTGTGAATCCTCACCTCCTTCAGGCCTTTTCTCAAATGTCAAAAAATACTTCAAAAAATGTCAAGCCACAACCGTAGTGCCCATCAACAAATGAATGGATAGAGAAGTCTGGTATATTCACATAATAGAATACTACGCTGCATTGAAAAACAAAGAACTCATGAAATAATGGTTGACCCTGGAGGACATTATGCTGAGTGAAATAGCTAAGTCACAAAAAGATAAATATTGCATAGCGCCACTGTTGTAAAATGGGACTGACATCGGGGTTGGGGTAAGACTGAGAAGGATGGGAAAAACTATGGATACTGCATTGAAACAGATGAGGGAGAGAACTGTTTAAAAGGGATATATGATTAGGTATTATTGTCACGACAGGAGTCCAGAATGAAGGCTGCATAGTGCAGTGAACTGGAGGGCGGGGAGGGATTGTATAACAATTGTATATCAATGAAAGAATTTTTCTTTTACTTTTCAAAGAGAGAATTGGAGGGAGAGGGTGGGCAGGGAGAAAAGTGCAACAATGAATGAATGGAAACCCAGTCTCTGTAAACTTTCATAAAATTTAATAAAAAAATAATAAAAGAAATGACCTGCTCATGCTATTTTCCTCTCTAAGCATTTACAGAGCTTCCAGTTAGCATTTATGAGGTGCTCTGGTGGCCTCACTGGTGGGAAACTACACTACAATCCCTAAGGCATGTGGTTCGAATTCACCAGCTGCTCTTCAGGATGGGCAATCTCTTCCTGTGGGATTTACAGCTTCTGAAAACCTGTAGGATTAGAAATGGGTGAGTTCTGACTTGATGGCACAAAACAGGAGGCATTTACAGAAATAAAAGATAACCTTTCTCTTGTTATGTTAATTGAGGAATCCATGCATTAGAAATGCAAACTGCATTCTTTCTCTTTTCTGGAAATTCCCAGAATTTACTATTCTAGCATAGCACACATTTTTGGATGAATGAGTGAGCTAGCGAAAAGAGGCACTTGGCTAATAAAAAAAAAAAAAACAACACAAAACCACAACAAAAAAACAACAACCCAGTGAGTTGAACAATGAACCAGTAATCTCCATGTTGCAATGTGCTTTATAAAACGAAAAGGAAGAGGCAGTTGGGAAGAAAGGCAAGCTGGTTTTAAAAACTGAGGGCTAAGACCAGAGTAAGAAAGTTTATTCGTTTGTTAGTTTGCAGGCTTCTTTCTGATCTCATTCCCATGCTTCCTGGCACTAAGCTTAAAGTCAGTAAGGAATGTCCCACCTGGGCCCCTAACCTGCCCATTCATCTACCTGGATTCCAAGCTCGTGCAGCAGAGAAAACCTGGAGGCGGGGCTCTAGGAAAGATGCGGAGGGACCTACGCAGGAGCATGCGCAGTAGTCAGAGCCAGCCGCGTGCGCGGGAAACTGAGCTCACCATCTGCTTCTGATTGGTTGCGGTAGCGGAATCCCACCCACCAAAACTCAGCGCTGGCTGTTGATTGGGTGTCTCCTCCCAGGCCGGACGCCGCTCGTGGCGAGGGCGGGGAGGCGGAAACAGCTTGGTGGGTGCGGGGTCTGGCGCTTGGTTTTGTAGTAGCTGAGGTGAAGTACAGTCATGGCGGTACAGCCGAAGGACACCCTGCAGCTGGAGAGCGTGGCCGAGGCCGGCTTTGTTCGCTTCTTCCAGGGCATGCCGGAGAAGCCGACCACCACGGTGCGCCTCTTCGACCGCGGGGACTTCTACACGGTGCACGGCGAGGACGCGCTGCTGGCTGCTCGGGAGGTGTTCAAGACCCAGGGGGTGGTCAAGTACCTGGGGCCTGCAGGTGAGGGCGGGTGCGGGGCTCAGGAGGGCCGGGGACGCCATAGGCATCTTTGTCCTGCCGAGAACGAGGCCGGTGCACGGGGTTCCCGCGAGCAGCGCTGGAGGCGGGGGCGCCGCTGCCTGGTCTGGACCCCGGTGCTGCCCGCTGGGCGCTCCCTGCAGGAGTTTCGCTCTCTGCACCTCTAACTGGTCCAGATCTGAAATAACACTAGTGCCTGGCGGCGTTTTACTTTGTTTTCCTCCGCAGTCCCATTACATCTCCGCTTGGCGGCTGTGCCTTCCTTTGTGGTCACTGTCCTTTCCAAACACCCTCTGTGAGACCCTTGCAGGACTGGGGTTCAGTCTGGGAGTTTCGGAGATCATGTCACCAATATAAGTTTGTCCCTGGCTCATGTTGTTATTGTGACCCCGGGTGTCGGAGCGGATTCATCGCTGACCCTCCTGCGGCTAATCGGTTACACAGGAGGAGAGATTGTTTATCTTTTTTCTGCAAACCAGCTGATGGATTCGAACTGCTTGTCTTGAGATTGGCAGCAGGACTCCTTATTACTCGGCCATCAGAACGCCCTTATGCAGTAGGTATTGCAGTTAGGTGCTGTCAAGTTGAGTAAAACTTAGAAAGGTCAGAGCCAATATTCTGAAACAGAGTTCTTTAAAGTAGCATTTTGCATGACCTTAGATATATGACTTCTGCTTATAGTTAATAAATGAAATAAGGGACTAATTTCTGAATTTGAAGTCATTGATTTTCTTGTCCTTATTTATTGCCCAATTCTCAGATGCACAGCAAGTGATTCAAAAGACCATGGCTTGAGGAGGGTGCACCTTAGTCTTTAAACTGACATCATTTCTCCATAGCATTATGCATAGGTCCTTGACAGCCGACTCTCTCAGTGCAATGCATCTTTTGATTTTTCTGACTCCTGATACAAAAGGGTTGATGGTGGCACCAAGTCAGATGAAATTGTTGACAATGTTAGTCTTTTCTACATCTATCTTGATACTGCTTTTTGGCCCAGTGGTGAAGATTTTGTTTTCCCAGTGTTGAGATAAAATCCACACTGAAGTCCTTGATATTCTGCACAAGTATTTCAAGTCCTCTTCACTTTTTAGCAAACAGGATTGCTTATCTGCTTGAACAGAGAAGAGTACTGAATAATTTAGACTGCCTGAAGAACAGACTGATCTGTCCTGGAGAAAGTGCAACCAAGACACTCCTTGGAGGCAAAGATGGTGAAACCTTATTTCACATACTTTGGGCATGATGTAGGAGGGGCCGTTCTTTGGTAAAAGACATCATACTTGGAAAGGTGGAGGGTGAGTGAAAGAGAAGAGAATCTTCAATGATCTTTATTAGTGACTACAGCAGTAGGCTCAAGGATGTCAGAAAAAATGAGAAACAGGACAGAACAAGGTTCAGCTCCATTGTCTGAGTCAATTCCATCTAACAACAGCAGTAATTCCCCAATTAAGAAATACTAACTTAGAATAAAAAAAAAGTCTTATATGCTCATGTTTGACTGAATAGCAATATGGAGATGTTTGTGCCTTATTGGAAAGTTTCATTTGTAAATAAAACTCTCAAATTTCTGGGAAAAAGTAGACTTCACAATTTGAGAATTGCTAGATGTTTAGTTTGTGTTAAATTAGAAATTCTTCAGAATAAATTTACAACCAACCTGTTTGACATAGGAAGTTTAGTTTAACATGTACAATTATCAAATTATAATTGAGACAAAATAGTAGTATCTAGGATAAATATATAAAAAATTAACTTACAGGGGAGCTCTGGTGGCCTAGAGGCAAGAAGCTGCACTGCAATCCCAGAGGCGCACGGTTCAAATCCACCAGATGCTCTGCCGGGAAAGGAGGGACAATCTCCTCCTGTACCAGTCAGATCCGATTTGACGGTACACACACACACACACACACACAATAATTAAAAAAATAAAAAAAAAAAATTACTTACTGCATAGCTAAATTACTGTTACTTAATAGATTTGAAGAAACTGGTTTAATATTCAAACTATGTAGTTTTTCAGAAAATGATGTAGTATTTTTTTCCCCAGTACTTGTGCAATAAACTCTGTTAGCCTAGTGGAAACTGTCTATAAAACCAGCTGTATTCTATAGACATGGTTCCTTATAAATTTTAATTCTTTACTGCCAATCAAAAGACATTTCTTTACTACAACTTGTATTCCATATTAGAATGAAAATCACAGAGGTAGGAGGAAGCAGGAGTGGCATCTACTTTCTAAACCACATGCCTCTGGAAACTTTATGAACTGTGAGAAACAACAGTAGTTATAGAAAGGCCTCAGGTCTTTTGTCCATTAGGGTCACTGTGAGTCGTGCCCAACTTGAGGGCAGTCAAGAACAACAACTTACAATAGTATCCTGATTTTAATTGTTTAAAAGGAAGAAAGTTTTCTCTTTCTCACTCTTCCTCTTAAGTCTAGCAGAATAATCAGCTATTTAAATATTTAAGTGATTCTGAACTATGTAATGCAGTGATAGAGCTGTGGACAACAAACAGCCTTGCATAACCAGAGGAATAAAATCATCATTTAGACTGGAAAGCAATTTAAGCCGTTACTCACTATAAAGCTAAGTGGCCTTACCTGGCCCCTAGAAACCAAAAACCAACCAAACAAAAAAAAAATGTATTATCCTGGAATTGTTTATACTTCATGGCAATATCTTATGTGCAAGAGTAGAGATGTACTCAGAGCTGAAGAATGAAGTTTTGGAAAAATACCAACAGGCCTTCCTTCAGAAGTGCCTTTCAGCGTGTTTCAATGACCCATTTGTTTAATAGGCAAGCACTTAAACATTTGCACCCCATAGGAATTCCGAGTGTTCTCCATACTTTTAAGACTTGCCTCCTTCAACCTGTACTACGCAATTCCAGGTAGATAATTTCTTGCACAAATGGCTCCAAATTATGCTGTCTACATGGATTTGCTTACAGCATATACCGATAGAGGTGTGTAGAAATGCCATCTGCCATTCCTGTTTGTCTTGTCAGACTCTGTATCTGAATATAGACTGCCACCTGGCACTGCTCACAATGTCGGATTGCGTCTGTAATGGGATTTACCTCTGTTGTCTGTGACTCTTGTGCACCTCTCTGTGTTGTGTCTTTGTCTAATATTGTGCCGATTATCCCTTTTGGTCTTTCCTTCTCCCAGTTTAGTACATGAGTCTTACCATTCTAGGGAGCTGTGGTAGCCTGCCTAATGGGCAAGGAGTTGCCTTGCCAACCTAAAGGCAAGCCGTTTGAATCCATCTCCTGCTCCACAGAAGAAACATGGACTTTCTCTTGCAGTGTGACTCACAGCATCTGAAAGTCTGCTGGAGGGTCCACTTGGAGTCAGTCTGACTTAGGAGCATGTTTTAATAACAACAGCATCCTACTACCTTCCATAGTGGTTGCACCATTTGGAATCCCATCACCAGTGTTTGCGGGTTCCAGTCTCTCCACACCCTCTCCACTGTGTTATTTTTGTATTTGTTGTTTTACAGGCTTCTCCTGACATAGGCCCTTGGATAGGTGGTCAGTCCACTATTGGGTCAGTGAATTACTGAGAAAACAATAACTGGGTAAAGTACTGTATTGTGTTAGGAGCTTGAACACTCATGACTTCAAAGCCTTAATTTTGTAACTTGTGATTTTTTTGTTTTTCTTTAGGAACAAAGACTCTGGAGAGTGTTGTCCTTAGCAAAATGAATTTTGAGTCTTTTGTAAAAGGTCTTCTTCTAGTTCGTCAATATAGAGTTGAAGTTTACAAGAACAGAGCTGGAAATAAAGCCTCCAAGGAGAATGATTGGTATTTGGCATTTAAGGTAATTATCCTTTTTTTAAGAATAGGAAAAGAAATGAGAGAAAATTCTGCGTGTTTTAACATTTTAAACTTATTGTGACAATAAAATGCTTTTAGAAACTTTAGTATTTAAAAAAAATGAGGCTTAAAAAGTTACATTAAATAGTAATTCATTAGGGCGTTCTGGTGGCATAGTTGTAAGAATTTGTGCTGCAATCCCAAAGGCATGTGGTTCGAGTCCACCAGCTGTTCTGTGGGAAAAGGATGGGCAATCTCCTCCCGTGTGATTACTGCCTCTTTGGAGGGTCAGCTGTGGGTCTGTTCTGACTTGATAGTGCCCAACAGTAACAAGTCCTAATTATAGGGAGCTCTGGTTGCCTAGTGGTAAGAAGCTATGCTGCAATCCCAAAGACACACAGTTCAAATCCACTGGCTGCTCCGCAGGAGAAGGCTGAGCAGTCTCCTCCCGTGCGATTAACTGTCTCTGAAAACCCACTGGAGGGTCACTTATGGGTTTCAACTCAGTGGTACACAACATTAAACAGTAATTATTTTATTGATTTTTAAGGAATAATAGAAAAATAAATAGTAAGCCAAGTACCTTATTTATATACATTAGTAATATGTATATTTGTACATATTCTTCTCTCTTCTTAGATTATAAATTTTTGCAAGTCTGACATTTCCTTAAGTGATGATAGCCACTCGATTGAAGGGATTACTGCAGCTATCATTCTATGCTTTACACCTCACTCTTTTGTCTTGAATTCTTCAAGGTGGACACACACAGATTTATCTCAAGGAAATAGCTCGGGGTCTTGTAGAGTCAGGCCTCAGCAGACAGGTGAATTTGGAGGTTGATAGGTAATTCAAGTTATGGCAGGCTGCTGATCCAAGTCCAGAGAACTGGAGGGAAAGAGCCAGATGCAGGATCCAGATCAAACTGAGGCTACATAACTTTTTTTTTTAAAATTTATTATTTTTTTGTGTGTGTACCATCACATCATATCTGAGTGGTACAGGAGGAGATTGCCCCTCCTACAGCAGAGCATCTGGTAGATTTGAACCACGTCCCTCTGAGATGGCAGTGCAGCTCTTTGCCACTAGGCCACCAGAGCTCTCTATGAAGCTACATAACTTTGCCAGGATGTATGTGGCAGTCATGTGTGTTTTACATATGTACAAGCTGTGATAGTCTGTACCCATTAAGATTTACAGCGCTGGAAATTCTATGGGATGTTTGTACACTGTTGCTGTAAGTCAGAATTGACAACAATGATTATTTGGTTATATGATACATTTACTTACTGACATGTGCAACCAATAGGTAGGTTGATCCTGCAGTGGGTTTTTGGGGTGCTGTGAATCAAACACGAGGAGGTTGCCCATCTTCGCAGAGCTGGAAATTTAGGAGCCCTTTGGTGGTTTAGCAGCACAACTTGGACTACATGTCCTGCACTTCCTAGATAGTTTGATAGACTATAGAAACTTAAGCATGACATTAACAGGATTATTGAACTTAAATTTATGTGACAGAATTATTTGGATACTTAGTGACTATATGTATAAATGCACTTGCCACATTTTAAACTTAAATCACTTTTTATTTATTTTTTTTTTTGGTTGTGTTTTTGGTGAAAGTTTACACAGCAAATTAGTATCCCATTGACAGTTTCCACATAAATTATTTTTGATGTTGCTTACATTTGTCACAGTGGGTCAGTATCTTCTTTAATTGTGTCTGTTTTTCCATTTCCAGGGCTCTGGCTTCCTTGTTCCCTCCTCATCTTTGATTTTGAGTAATTGTTGGTCTTTTCTCTAGTACTGATGGTTTTTAAAGAGTTCACTGCTTTTATGGATAATATTCTTTATGCCACTCTGCTTCACTGAAACACCCCAGACACTACTGGCTTCATTAGAATTCAGGTCATGATTTTTGTGAGGTGTGCTATCCTGACTGACTAGGTAGCCTCATGACACTAGGGTCCTAAGACTGAGATCACTTAGAATAAATACATTTATTTTTACATTTTCCCAGGTACTCTGAGAACAGTTGAAAAGGTAGCTCAGTTTTATAGAATATGTGGTAATAATAATTGGAGTATTTCATTATAAGCAGTTACTTTTTGTTAGCAAACTTACTTGACTAAAGCCCATTGGAGTTAAAAATCGTCATTTGGTAATAGCATTTTAAAGTGTGTTCAGCTGGGTCTTAAAAAATTGTTCTTTATTTTTGCTTAGGCATCCCCAGGCAATCTTTCTCAATTTGAAGACATTCTGTTTGGAAGCAATGACATGTCCTCTTCCATTGGTGCTGTGGGTGTTAGAATGTCCACAGTGGACGGCCAGAGGCAGGTTGGCGTTGGGTATGTGGACTCTCTTCAGAGGAAGCTTGGGCTGTGTGAGTTCCCTGACAATGACCAGTTCTCCAATCTTGAAGCTCTCCTCGTCCAGATTGGTCCCAAGGAATGTGTTTTACCAGGAGGAGAGACTGCTGGAGACATGGGGAAACTGAGGCAGGTAAGGAAATCTTGAGTCCGGTGGCACATGAGAATCTGAGCCTAGAAAAGGCGTTTTTGTTTTTGGGTTTTGTTTTTTTTTCGATGCAACATAGTGTTCCATTGTGTGAAAGTACCACAGCTTCTCTATCCACTCATTTGTTGTTCATAGACAAGGCTTTTTAATGGACTTGATGCTGTTTTCTTTAAATGCTAACCATGTGATTTAAAACCGTTTTAGACTTTTTACTTGAGTATTTTTAAAATATTTTCTACCTCAATGACATTCTGATTGCCATATGTGTTTTGTTTAGCTATTTCTTACAAAGTAAATAACTTGAAGGATTTTTTCTTTATTGGACCGCAGATACCTTAAACTCTATGGTCTTTTTTTATTTTATTTTATTTTATTTTTTCTATGGTCATTTTTACCATAAAGAATAAGCATCATCTTCAGGATAGGTCAAGATAACAGTTTGTTCATATGGTCTCTGTGAGCTCTGCCACACTCAAGGGCACTTTACCACAGTGCAGTGTCTCAGTAACTTCCCACAAATGTTTTTCTGTTCAGAGTTTTTATTACTGAAACCATTCTTTGGAAGCTTTAAATGAGAACATGATGTAAAATTTTTATTAACATTTAGCCTTTAGGTTTTTTTAATAGAAATGATACAATAGTTAATACACGTAAGTTGCCATTGTCTTGTACTTTATGTTCTAATTCAGTATTAATTAATGATTTTTTGGCTTCTTAACTTTATTTTCACCAGTGAATAGTTACCAGTGGGTACTCATCTTTTTCTTGTTGCAGGATCTAAATATACTAATTTTAAATGCTTCTTGTAAAACAGGTTATTCAGAGAGGAGGCATTCTGATCTCAGATAGAAAAAGAACAGACTTTTCCACAAAAGATGTATATCAGGATCTCAACCGGTTGTTGAAAGCCAGAAAGGGAGAACAGATGAACAGTGCTGTCTTGCCGGAAATGGAGAATCAGGTCAGTGAACTGCAAATGTGACATTTATTCTCAAATTATGATAGTAGCTCTATAGAAGAAGCCTGCTTCTATCATAAACCTAAAGTGTATCAGTGATTTTGATCTGTGGTGAGAGTTGTGAAAATTTCTAGAAACATTTGAATATAAATATAAGCATCATACTAAACTTGAGGACAATGTTTGGTGGAGTTCCCCGTTTAAGGATAGGTTTGGAAGCAGGAGTGGCCCAACTTCCTAAACCACATGTCTCTGGAAACTCTTTGAAGAGAGAGAAACAATGATAGGTATAGAAAGGCCTTTTGTTCATAGTGTCACCATGGGCTGTGCTTGACAGCATTGAGCAACATTTAAAGTATTTAGTCACCAGTCTGGAACTGGACTCCAGATTGGAAAGTTGTCTGGAGCAGCCAGATTCTATAGAGGTTTGTTTTCTAGTTCTGGTGAGGATTAAGGTGCAATGATTACTCGCCATTGGGTGTGAATTGATTGTATTCGGGCCTTCAATTGGAAAAGAAATTTGGTCAAACGTTCTTCTAAGTGAGGTAGCACTGATCTGTCCCTTTGCTCTACAGAGGTGACTCATCGTGGTTGTGATGTTAAACATTGTGACACTGATGCGTTAAATGCAGTAATGGTTACCCATGGTGGACAGTGTTTGGTGGAACTCCCTGATCCACTTCTGAAATGGCATGCCTCTGGAAACTCTGTGAACATGGAGAAACGATGAAAGTTTCCAAGTGTCCAGGTCTTTTGTTCATAGGGTCTCTTTGAGTCGTCTATGACTCAACGGCACTTAATAATAAAACAGAGAGCTATGTTGGCCTAGTGGATATATTATCAAGCCAAAGGTGGATGATTTTAATCTGTGGTCCTCAGGCCTGGTTTAAATTGGTTTTTGTCAAACATTCTTCTAAGTGATTTAGCACTGCTCTGTGCTTTGCTGTACAAGTTGCTGTGATGCTGAACACTGTGACACTGATGTGTCAAATACAATAATGGTTACCCATGCTGGACAGTGTTTGATGGAGCTCCCCAATTAAAACAAGCTTGGAAGCAGGAGTGGCATCCACTTCAAAAATAGCTTGCCTCCAAAAACCCAGTGAACCTGGAGAAAGGATGAAAGTTATACAAATATTCAGGTTTCTCATTCATAGGGTTTCTGTGAGTGGCCAGCCACTCGATGGCACTTAACAACAACCTCAAGGGATCACTGGTGGCCTAGTAGTAAGAAGCTACGCTGCAGTCCCTAAAGTATATGGTTCAAATCCACCAGCTGCAAGAGAAAGATGGTCCGTCTTTCCCCAATTGATGTAACTGTCTCTGGAAACCCACTGGAGGTCAGCTATGGGTTGGTTCTGATTAAACAGCACACATCGCCATCATGCTGAATTCCATGCTCCATATGCCCTTTGAATATGGAAAGTTTCACTGGCTTCATTTGCAAGATTCTGATTACTTTCATTTTCTTAGGTGGATAGCGGATGGAGGGGAAGAGAGACCTATTTTCTGTTTTCCCTCTGTTTATCTAATGTGAAGTCTTTGATAAGTTACTTCACTTTGCTGCAAAGCGATTTTTATACCTGTTAAATAAGTAAAAATGCTGGTCTCAAAGGATTGTTGGTGGAAATTAAAAAGCCTACCAATTTCATAGTCATCTAGTTAGTTTTGACATATGACTACCCTCTGTCATATTTCTGAGGTTGTAAACCATTGTGGGAGGAGACTGCCCATCTTTCTCCCTTGGATTGACTGGTAGTTTTGAACTACTGAACTTTTGATTATGCGTATAAAGAGTTGCTCCAATAGGTCTCCTCGTAATGGCAGTTAGGAGATAATAAGTGACTTATACATAATAGAAGAGGCTGTGGCACCAGCGGTATCATTGCTGATGTCCTACAGATCCGACCTGAAAGCAGTGACTACTAGAAGAAGGTCTATTTATGCTTTATTGATTATAGAAAGATATTTGGCTGAATGGATCTTAACAAATTATGGCTGGCACTGAGAAGAATGGGAATCCCAGAAGACTTAATTGTGCTTATGTGAAACGTATGCCTAGACCAAGAGACTTGTGCAAACAGAGCACAGGAACACTACATGGTTTAAAATTAAGAAAGGAGTGTGTCAGGGTTATATTCTCTCTTTATACCTAGTCAGTTTGTATACTGAACATATTATTTGAAAAGTTGGACCTTAGGAGGAAGATTCATCAGTTAACTTTGTTATTCATATGACACAACCTTGCTTGCTGAAAGTGAGGAGGACTTGAAGCACTTGCTGCAGAAGACTGAAGACTATAGCCTTTAACATGGATTGCATCTCTATGTCAAGAAAACAGAAATTCTCTTCACTGAACCTATACATAACATCGTGATAGATGGAGAGAAGACTGAAACTGTCATTGACTTCATCTTACTTGGATTCACAATCAGTACCCTTGGTATCAGCGATCAGGAGACATGCTCTGGGAAGATCTGTGGTCAGGGACCTCGCCACATTATTGAGGAGCAGTGATGTTAGTTTAAGGACTAAGGTACACCTAATTCAGGCCATGTTCCTTGAAGACAAAGATGGTGAAACATCATCTCACATACTTGGGCCATGTTGCTAGGAGAAATTATTCCTTGGAGAAGGATATCATGCTTGGGGAGTTGGAGGGATGGTGAAAGACAGGAAGATACTTAACCAGGTGGATTGACATAATGACTACAGCAATGAGCTCAAGTGTGTCAGAAATTGTGAGGACGGCACAAGGTCAGGGCTCAGATCTGTTTTTCATTGCGTTGCTATCAGTTGCACTTGTCTAGTGGCCCCTCATAGCAACAATATATACATGATAATGTGTGAAAAAATGGAACCTAGCAGCTTGAATTAAGATTTTGCATGGGTTATGTATAATTAGGGGTAGAAATGAATTTGCAAACAATGTAACTTTTTTCCTTTTTATATTTTTTATTTTTTTATTATTTGTGTGTCTGTATACCGTCAAATCAGATCTGACTGGTACAGGAGGAAATTGTCCCTCCTTCCCCGGCAGAGCATCTGGTGGATTCTGACTGTGTACCTCTGTGATTGCAGTGCAGTTTCTTGCCACTAGGCCACCAGAGCACCCCGGCAAACAATGTAACTTTTAATAGTGGTTTGAATTTATTATGCTATGTGCCCTCAAGTTACTTGGGACTCATAGGGACTGTATGTGCAGCAGCTCTGAACCCTGTTTTTATCTTATTCATCAAACATTAGAGGTCAAGCTGACTTGAAAGATATATTTCTATGGCAACAGACTATTTGTGAATCATTGATAAGTAAAATGAAAATTTCTGTTGGGTGTTTAAGCAACACAGAACACAACAGTGGTAAAACCCATTGCTTTAAGACAATTTTGACCTAGTAGTTTAGAGTAGAACTTGCCTTTGGTGTTTCCAAGGCTGTAAATCTTTATGGAATTGGATTACAGTATCTTTGCAAGAGTGGCTAGTTTGAATTGCTTACCTTTTGTTATCAACTTAGTACTTACTCCGCCATACCACCAGACTTCTTTAAATAAGCCCACGGGTTTTTTTAACTGCTTATCCATTTCAAAATAGATTTGAACCTATCATGAACTGAGGTGGGCTCTCCCACTGCTGCTGTGCGGAGAAGATGGAGCTGTTTCTTCTCTGAATGACTCCTTTGCCTCCCAGCTTCCCACCCAAGAAGGGGCCCATCCTTGGGCTCAGCGGAGAAAGTAGAATGGACTGAGATTATTTATCTATTGTTGTTTTGATGTGGTGGTTCTACTAAGTAGTAGTTGGAGCCTGTTGATGCAATTTCATTGTTGAGATTTACAATCTCAGTCAGTATGGCTGATTAGTAAGAAGAAATTTTTGTGTGGAAGATACAAAATCTATACTTTGCACTTCTCTGCCACCTCTCTTCTGACAACAACTGCTGATGGCAGTACTTTCCACTCTGATTTTAGCCACTGGCACCAGGCTGGGTCTCAAAATTGAGAAGACTCTGCCATTTCAGCCTCCATAAACCTGTGGGGAACAGACCTTCTAAGCCTTCACCTGTATCTGGAATGCTATTTTTGATGCTTAAACAGTTCTTAAAAGTAAAGATAATTAGTTGTAGTGCAGATATTCTAATCGATACTGTAAAACACAGTGGCTATGAATGGTTGCATGGAAAATCAGTTTGCTTTGTAAACTTGTCCTCAAATTAAATTTTTTTAAAAAAAAATCAAAGGTGTTTATACCTGAAATGAAGTAGAATTTTGTTTAGGGAAGAATCATACTATGTGTACAAAGCACAGAAGAGCACTGTCGCTCCATGGAGTGGTCCTAACAGAGCTGGGATAAAGTGGGAAAAAGGTTAACACGTGTCCATGGGCATAGTGACCTGCTTCATGCCAGCTTTCAAAGTACCCTTCCAGCTGAGGCTCCTGGACACAGGGTCCCTATACTGCTGTGCCCGTTGAGGAGTGAAATGGATTATAAAGTAAATAGAGAAACTTGTGAAATTTTTCTAAATGTTCAAGGAATATGAAATGAGAATCAGACAGCAGCTACAGGTTTGGGATGAGCAGTCTCTCCCCCATGTGATTTCCTGCCTCTGAAAACCTTAACCTCTTAAAAGGTCTGCTGTGAGTTGGTTCTGACTTAACCGTACGTATCAACCAATACTAACCGATAAGTAATTGTCACTGTCATCAGATTAACGCTGACAACGTGGTGACTCTGGGTTACAGGAAAAAAAGCCCGCAGGTGATAATCTTTATGGGACACAGGGATTTGGGTAATTAGGTTGAGTCTGTCAGAGACCGTGAGATTGGCTCCCCAATAGGCAGGGTTCAGAGCTGTTGTGCATCAGGTTGCCATGAGTTGTAGGTGACTCATGGCACATAACAAACAAATCTTGATGGATTCAGCCAACTAGGCCTTGGTTTAGTGATTTCAATCCATCTACCTTTAGATGAGCAACAGCTTGTAAACTGGATCACCCAAGGATGAGCTGCAACCAATTTGACACCACGTAGCAACAGATAGACTGCTGTGCTGGTACCCGCATTGTTCCCAGGGGACTTGTGGGTAATTTTTGCTTTTGACCGATAAAAAGTCCTGCTGTTAGTTACATTTTCACTTTCTGAAGATGGATTTTCAGTCTTAAGAGATTTATTGGGACATTGTCTAATAATGTTATTTTAGATTGGGAAGGGAAAATTGATAATTTTTGGAGTTTATTTCATTTTGGCATTTAAAAAATTCTTTACCGTTTGGTTCTCCAGAGTGGTCCTACCGATTCAGCAGTCTCTCTTTCCTCCTTCAATTCTTCACCTTAGGTTGCCGTTTCATCATTGTCTGCTGTCATTAAGTTTTTAGAACTCTTATCAGACGATTCGAACTTTGGACAATTTGAACTGACTACTTTTGACTTCAACCAGTATATGAAATTAGATATTGCAGCTGTCAGAGCCCTTAACCTTTTCCAGGTAAAACAAAATTGCATGAGTTAAACAAATGTTGAATGATTAAAAAGTGTGTCTTATATATGTACTATAGACATTGACTAAAAACTTAGATATTTTGAAATATAAGAATCCCTTGAATAAATAGTTTTGGGTTTCTTTTGTTTTTATTCTTAAATGCTAAACAAATACTGTTGTTTTTTTTCAAAGCTTTATAAATTATATATAGTAATAAGAGTTCTTTAAAGTTATACTGTGTTAGAACTATCCCCTGGAACAAAAAAGTTAAATTTTGAGCCTTTTAAGTCAAGAACAGTTACAAAGTATTATACTTACAAAGTAGTTTTGGTCTGGGGAAAATACAGGAAGTTTAATTTTAGGAAGAAGAACCTTTTTTTGCAAATGTCTCATTAAATATTTCAGAAGTATGTGTTCTTATGTCTAAAATTATTTTTTTCATGTTAACATTTATTTATTTATTTTTTTTAATTAAGTGCTCCATTTTGTATTTTTTGTTTGCCCAGGGTTCTGTTGAAGACACCACTGGCTCTCAGTCACTGGCTGCATTGCTGAATAAATGCAAAACTCCTCAAGGACAGAGATTGCTTAATCAGTGGATCAAGCAGCCTCTTATGGATAAGAACAGAATAGAAGAGAGGTATATTAATGTATGGCTTTGCAAAAGTTAAAGTAACTTTCATTTATATGATTATGCCTCTTATTCTAACATGCAGTCTTGCACCTGTGTTAACATTTAACTATTCAGAGTTACACCAGCCAGTAAGTAAATGCCATCAACTCGGCACCAACTCATATAGAAACTCATAGATGGGTCTCATCGGCAGAGCCACTGGTGGATTTGAACCGCCAGGGAGGCATCATTTTTGGGTTAGCTATGCAACTCCTAAGAGACTGTGCCACCAGAGCTCCCAGTGAATGAAATCAAAGGGTACTGAGAGTCTTCAGAGAACTTAATTTCCCAGGTAATGTTTTTCATTAATGTTATGTGCCATCGATAGTCTGTGACTCATAGTGACAGCTCTAAAGCCTGCCCTGTCCTGAGCCACTCTCACTGACTGACACACCTACCTCCATTTCTCTAGTCACTGTATCAATCCATCTCATCCCAGGTCTTCCTCTCCTGCGCTTTCCCTCCACCCTTCCAAGCATGCTGTCCTTCCCTACGTCCCTACTGGCCACATGCTCAGAGTATGTGAGAAAGAGCTTCAAAATCCTAGCCTCCAAAGGAGAAACTTGGTTTCACCCTTTCCACGACAGAGCTATTTGTTTTCTTGGTGGTCCATGGTAGTTCAAGACTTCTCCAGCACCCAATTTAAAGACATCATTCTCAGTCATTGTCCAGTTACCTGATGCATAGGAAGTAATTGGGAAGACCATGATCTGAGTCAGGCACACCTTGGTCTCTAGACTGACATTGTTGCTTTTCAATACTCTGGAGAGGTCCCTGACAGCAGGTTTTCCCAGTGCATAGGGATTACGGCCTAAAATGTCCTGCGGGGCATTTATGCTCTTTACCTTTGTAAAGGTCCATGGCAGCAGATTTTGTTCAGTGGGATACAATGTCTGATTTCTCCACTGCTGTTTGTAAAAGTGCTGATTGTGAATCTAAGTAAAAAAAAAAATCCTTGACTAATCTCCATCCATCATGGCATTAACTGATCCAGTTGTGAAGATACTGGTTTTCTTTACACTGAGGTATAATACAGTCTTCTTTTTAAAGAAAATTTTGTACATTCAATGATTTATTCATTACAAACAACTTTTTTACTATTTTATATTTACATAGTATACATTTTGTTTCATGCACTCCTCCATTCACTTTGTTTCACATTATCATTCTCTACATTGTGTTTTTTCCCCCCATACATCATGTTTTATAAAATAAATCACCATTGATCCATGCCCACCATTACCTCATCTTTTCAGGTGGTAATACTGTCTTAACCATCATTGATTAATTGCTTTAGGTCTATTCTGCAAACAAGATTTTTTCATCTACATATCCCAGATTATTGTGCTTGCTTCCAATCTCGATACCACATAGGTCTTCATATAGTCCATCTTCTGGAATTAGAGATTCAGTAAGGTTGATAAAAGGTTACAGCTGTGGTGTACACCTTCCTGACTGTAAATCATGTACCATCCCCTTTTTCTGTTGGAAAGATTATCTCGTGGTCTTTGTATAGCTTCCATTGAGAATTTTCCCAGTATTCATGGTTTGTAATAAACCACACAATTCATTGCCGTTGCATACTCCGCAAAACAGATAAACGTCTTTCTAGTGTTCTCTCCTTTGACTCATGATCCGTCTGACGTTAGTAGTATCCCTTGTCCTGTGCCCTCTAGAATCTAGTGTGAATTTCTGGCATTTTCCCTTTTGATGTACTCCTGCTTCCATGTTTTAATATTCTGTAACATTTTACTTGTTTGTGATTTAGTGATAATTTTTACATTCATTAGATCCCTGTTTTTTGAACCGGGCACAGACAGTGATCTCTTCCAGCCATTTGGCTGGGTATTGGCTCTCTAGATTTTCTTGATATCGACAAATGAGCTGCGATCAGCTGTCCAATGGTTAGAACATTACTTGATAACCTGTCAATTCTGGAATCCCTGGTTTTTGCCCATTCCTTCACAGACTTTATTTTTTTCCTTCAGAACTACTGGTTCTTTTTAGTTCTTCCCCCCCCCCTCCCTTTTATTTTTAGGTTTTTCACTGGTTCCTGATCATAGGAAAAATTCCTGAAATGGTTGAACATCAACTAATTTTTTTTGGCACAGTGACTGTATGTTCCTTCTATCTTCTTTTGATGCTTCTTACATCATTCAGTCTTTTTTTGTATGGAGTCCCTTAATTCTTCTTTTCTTTTAGCTTGAGAAATGTTGAGACTGTCTTAGCATCCATGTGTTTAGATGTGGCTATCACTTATATTTAATTATAAAATTTAATTGAAATTGGGAGTCTAATAAAAGTGGACCAAAAGTTTATCATCAAACCACAAATTCAAGAATAAAATTTTATTCTTTTATATTTAATTATAAA